TTAATGCCAACAAAATGGGGATAATAACAAAAATGGGGAGAATAGGGATCCCTGGGTGGCGCAGCAGTTCAGCGCCTGCCTTTGGCCCAGGGTGCGATCCTGGAGACCTGTGATCGAATCCCAGGTCGGGCTCCTGGTGCATGGAGCCTGCTTCTCCCTCTGCCTATCTCTCTGCCTCTCTCTCTCTCTGTGACTATCATAAATAAATAAAAAAAATTTAAAAAAAAATTTTTAAAAATGAGAACAGTGTAATCTCATAATTGCACTCCATGAAAATTGTGACAAACATGTGAAGTGCTTAGAATGGTGCCCGTGACACAGTAAACATCCAATGAACTTTCAATACAATGACACTGATCATAATGCTGCTGCTTCTCCTGAGCCAGGCTCCCACCTCCAAACCTTGTACACACTTCTATTATTTGGTTACTCGATAACCTAATTAATCCGTTAACATTTAGTTACTCCATAAGGCCTCTGAGGTGACCAACAATACCCAGAGGATCTAGAATGGCACCTCTCACATAGTAGAAATTGTATAAATGTAGGTGCTTTGAAATAACCTTCCTGAGGCAGCCTTCACATTCATATTTGAAGTCAAATACCAACAATCATAAGTTGGGCGTTGTACTAGCTGCTTTTCCACGTGATCTCATTTAATTGACAATTTTATCCCACTTTACAGAAAAGGAAAGGCTCAGCATCCCCCATTTGGCTACATAACTCCATTCTATGACTCTACAGAAGCCTCCTCATTGAAGCTTTTAGTAATTCCCTGACCTCTCAGTGTGATAACTCTACTATCTGCTTTTTCTGAGCTCAGCCACAAAGCACCACAGGAGGGAAATCACAAAACCACACAGACTTGGCAAACTAGCAGACTTGGCAAACTAACGACAGCTAGACACTCACTGCCATTCTTCCTGCCCCACAGGTGCAATGCCTTTGAAACCTCCTGCTCACTCAACCCTTTTTCACCTGCTTTCAGCCATCAAGTTCTGCTCTGTCACTTCTCTCACACCTTTGTCTTCCATCCCATTCAGTGGTCCAAACCTCTGGTACATTAGTTACATCATGAGCCTAACTAGTCTTCCTGGTTCTGCTCTCTCTCCTCTCACTCTACTCTGAAATCTATCATGAGACCAGTCTTCAAGACTGTAAGTCTTTCTAAAAGAGATCTGGGATCATATCTCTTTCATTCTTCAGAATCCTTCAGTTGTTTCCTATGGCATAGGACAAGGATAGCATATGCACACAAGGCTCTGTGCTCTTGTGATCCAAAGCTATTTTTAATTCCTGCTAGTTCCCCAACACTGTCTGCCCTGGCCAAACCTCCCACAGGGCCCTTTATTCACACTATTCACCAGCACCTATCGGCCTACCCACATACTCCTCTTCCTCTCTGCCTGCTGAAATCCTGCCCATGCTTCAAGGCTTCTGCCCTGCTCCCTTTGTAAGGCTATTCCTGATCAGCCCACCTTTCAGAACCTGTCCTGCCTCTCAACATCCAGCGCAACTAATGTCCACACTCACTGGACTCCAGGCAAATATGGTATCCTTCCATTTCTTTTTCTTTTTTTTGTGGTATCCTTCCATTTCCTAATAAATCTTTAAAAAAAAAAAAAAAGATGTATTTGAGAGAGAGAGTGTACGTGTGCTGGAATGGGGATAGGGATCTCAAGCAGACCCCACCCCCACCCCCACTGAGCATAGAGCTTGATCCCAAGACCCTGAGATCATGACCTGAGTCAAAATCAAGAGCTGGACACTTAATCGACTGAGCCACCTGAGTGCCCCACATCTTAATAACAAATGCAAGGTCTTAAGAGTGACTTACACAAAATAAGCGTAGTATTTAGACGAACAAAAGGTCTTCAGTATTTCTTTTAGAACAGTATGAATGTTGAGCAAATATTCTTCCGTAAAGCCTTACCTCTCTCCTACCCAGTATTCTTTGAGGACCTCTCACAACTGAAGAGTGCTCACACACATCTCACACTTTACAGCCAAACTTAATACACAAGTATGTGACCACTAGATATCATTATTTAGCAGGCTAAGTCCACACTAGAGAAATGTCTGACCACCCACAACTGCTGGGCACAGTAACACTGTCAAAGGACTCAAAAAGGCTTTCCAGAGAAAAAATCTGGGTTAAACAAAGAGCTAAATTTAGCTGCTTCCTTACTGTGTTTTTCCAATTGACAGACCTTTTATAATACTACCCCATCACACACATACACACAGCTGGTATTGTACTGCCAAGAGGAGTGTGGCAATTACAGAAAATGGCTTAGAAACTGTTGACACCACTCAGCACACAGTCAACGTGCTGCATACCAGCAGCAAGCTGTCAGAAGCCTAAGACCCAAGCCATCACACCAATGGGTAGTAAACATATCGTTGTTCTTTTGTACCCTGGAGATTAGAAAATAAGGCATTTGGGAATCTAGGACATGCCAGAAGGCTAGCTGGAGAGCTATCCAAGCCATCCTCCACAACTACCGATCTAAGTTGATCTGCTTCTGCGGACTCTAAAGAGAAATGACTATAGTCTATTCCGCCATTACACGGCCCTTCTCCTCTGATACTATATCCTTCCTCTCTTTAACTTAGCGACCTTCCGAAAAGAAAATAAAATGTAAGGTTTGTTAGAGTCTTTATCTCTCTGGGCCTCAATGTCCTCATCTGTAAAACAAGAAAATCATACTAAGTGATGAAGTAACCTAATGCTAACATTTGACAGTCTTATGTTGTTGTTTCTCCACATGTTCTAGATAGTTTGCCTTATTCTGACCATAACATCTGCATAGGAGATCCAAGTGGAAAAGTGTCCCCAGCCAGGTACCATCTGAGTAACAGTAGAAACCAACTTGTGCCTTTTGATGGAACAGAGATAAAAACCACCTGTAGGAGAAGCTGCTCAACAAGGCAACGGTTTGTTTGCTCGCTATTTCCAGCATAGACCCTGATTGGCAAAAGGGCTTCATTTCCACTCTTATCACTACTGAGGACAAAGAGGAAAACCAGACAGCATGAAGCTGTGGGCCTTCTTAGGCCCTCACTGTCATGCCTCAGTGAAGTCCAACTGGTCAGCCACCATATCTGAGTTCCTGGCTGAGGACCAGCTAATATAGTTTGTTTTAGGTTTGTTAATGGCAATTCTGGAAAATAGTTTGATGTGAGAGAACAGAACTTTCTACTTGTCATTAAATTAAACACGGCATCTGGGTGGGCTCAGTGGTTGAGCGTCTGCCTCCAGCTCAGGGTGTGATCCTGGGATAGAGTCCCACATTGCATTCTCCGTGGGGAGCCTGCTTCTCCCTCTGCCTGTCTCTGCCTCTCCCTATGTCTCTCATGAATAAATAAATAGAATCTTTAAAAAGATAAAAATTTAAAAAATTAATTAAAGAAAGTGTGAATGAAAATCAAGTTGGGGGAGGTTGAGTGTGTAGTAGTAAAAAATTCTCACACTCCCCTTTGCCTACTTTAGCAATGTTTTCTCAGGCTCTTTTAGATCTGATAATCTTTCCTGAGTTTACTATTTTCTTCCTTTTAGCCACTTCATTCCAAGGCAGGCCATATCTACCCAAGCTCAGGAATTTCAGGGAAAGGACCTGCTGCATGACCTGATCACCTCAGCTCAGTGAGCTACAGGTAGAGGTAGCTTATTGCTGTGGGCAGTGAAAGAAAAGCTACAGGTAGGGGCAGCTGAATGGCAAGAGCTGACTATTTTCAGACCTGCAGGATGATGGCTGCCTCTGAAAAGCTTCACACCTGGCAAATGAAATGAAGCCTGATTCTGAGCTAGGCTGTCTGCCCACACACAAGTGGTAAAAATCAAGAGTTCAGTAAGTCACACTGTCAGTGCCACTTAGGGAAACCACCTTAGTAAAGAGGCATGCCCATCAGAGTCCGCCAGTGAACAACGGAAAATAATCTGGCAGTCTCTCTTATCAGCCTGGCAGCCTGCTTTTTTCTCCCCCAAGTGGAAAATGCATGCAAACTTCTATACTCAGCAAACTAAATAAAATACAACACGGCCTTACTACTGTCTTCAAAAAAGCCATGCTGTATCTTATTTTCCTCCAAATTTCCATAATACTTTCTATAACTGCTACTACTGTTCTAAATTTATATTCCTTATACTCAAACCCTCAAACCAAAACGAGTATTATACTTAGTTCCTTCTCTAATTAAAATGATTATGATTCCTCCTTCAGCTCTTTAAGATCATTCAATAAGAATGGTTTTCAAATTGTATTCGAAGAAACTCTGGGAAGGGACAAGGCCAGGGGTGAGGTAGATCACCTCTCCCATAGCTGGTTTTATGTGCCTCAAATGCCACGTTTGAAGAAAAGATCCTCATGTCACAAAAAAAGAAACTTAAAACCACTGAGGTAACAAACTATCCTATACAGTGACCTACATAACTACCAAGACACTACTTTGTTAAGTGAGAAATAGGACCAGCCAAACCTCCCATGACCAGGGCTAGCAGGAGATGAGAACAATGTAGTAACAACAAATGTGATTTATTGAAACCCCAATTTTAGCCAGTGGTTTCAACCATCTATCTTCGAATGTTTTTTACACCAATAAGTAACTAGTAAAACAGGTGAACTTCCCGTAAAATGTATAGGCAGTAGCAGGCAAGCCAAAGTGAAAAGTGAGAGATCTGATTATGTGAATCTACATAATTGGCTCCTATGCCTTTAGTTGTTAATCATGATACACTAAATAAAGAACAGACCAGATCCTGTCAGATGCAGGACACCAATGGACATGAAATCAGCCCCCTACCCCACACCTCCACATCACCATGGTAGGTAGGATGCCATATTAACCACTATTCCCAAGAGACGATAAGAATGTGCCAACCACAAAGCCACTTAGTTAATTCCTACTGCAAGAGTCTGATTCAGAATCTACATCATTCTCTTTCAAGCAAAACAAAAACAGGAGAGCAGCCAGTAGGATGGAGACCTGGTACAACTCACCTGTGCAGAACTCCTTGCTCACATTGTGGGGCACTGTGATCCGCCGATAGACAATGGGCTCCGACTCCAAGATGTTCTCATCATGGCGGTACCGAGTTGGTCTTTCATTTGGGATGCCCCGGGAACGGGTACCACTTCTCCTTTCATAGGTATCAATCTCCTCAAACACAGCTGCCTTATCAAAAAGGGCCAGGTTCCCTTCAAAATCAAAATCTGTATCTGGGATCTCTTCGATATCATCCCCGAAGCACTCGTCATCTTTATTCTTCATTTGGCCATTCTTTAAGCCACTTTTCTTTGGAGTTGCCTGATTTGGGTGTCTGCTACTAGATGACCCTAGAGAAAAAAACAAGGACTAAGGTCAGTGTGCCCACAGGAAATACTCAGGGGAAGTGGAAAATACATTAGTCCTTTATAGAGAACATTATAGGAATCAAAGTAAAGATGGTAAAAGCTATTTCTAGATCACATTAAAGTAGCACAAACTACCACAAATCTCATGGAATAATAGATTTCATATATTACCTAATAATAGTGAATATAAAATAAGTACAACTCCTGGAAATCTTAACCAGTTCTATCCTTCATGAAGAAATTAGTCAACAGAGGCTTTTTTGACAAATGAGTATCAAAAATGTGGAAGAGCAAGAGTAGAATCGTTTCTTCCCACAGGTCTGGGTAGTTTGATCTCCAATGTCTAAGCAGTTAACAGAGAAATACCCCCACAGCGAAATAAGGGAACTCTTTGTAACCTGAAGCTCATAAGAAGAGAATACCCAACTGGCTTTTTTTTTTTTTTAAATAAGTAAGTAAATCTTTTCTTTTCTTTTCTTTTTTTTTTTTTCTTTACGATAGTCAGAGAGAAAGAGAGAGAGAGAGAGAGAGAGAGAGAGAGAGAGAGGCAGAGACACAGGCAGAGGGAGAAGCAGGCTCCATGCACCGGGAGCTTGACATGGGATTCGATCCTGGGTCTCCAGGATCGCGCCCTGGGCCAAAGGCAAGCGCCAAACCGCTGCGCCACCCAGGGATCCCAGTAAATCTTTTCTTTTTTTTAAGATTTTATTTATTTATTCATAGAAACACAGAGAGAGAATGAGAGGCAGAGACACAGGCAGAGGGAGAAGCAGGCTCCATGCAGAGAGCCTGATGTGGGACTTGATCCAGGATCTCCAGGATCATGCCCTGGGCTGCAGGCGGCGCTAAACCGCTGTGCCACCAGGGCTGCCCCCAACTGGCTTTTAATTCAATGTTTACCAAGCAAGCTACCGTCTAATTATTTGATCTCAGGTTATTGGTATGCCAAATGCAACCTCCAATATGGTTTAAATATCCAATATGGTAATGTACTTCCTTTTGAAAGACTAAAAGCTCCTCAATTATTAAAAATACTCAGGTAGAGGTTAGAAAGATCACAAACAAATCCCCTCACACATTTCCATCCCAGCTATACTACTCTAACTTCTCACAGCAACTCCTTTCTACCCTATGGACCAGCCAGGAGACTTAGGATCTAGCTGTAGTTCTTGTTAACATGTTATATAATCTTATACCTGTCATCCAACTTCTCAATTTCCCTGTACATAAAATGCTCACTGTTGTAACCCCAGCATAGTTCCTAGCACATAGCAGGCAGTCAATAAACATTTGCGTAACAAACTCTTAAATACTGGCAAGATCAATTACAATAATTACTTTGAAAGGTATGTGCTGGGCACCTGGGTTGCTCAGTCGGTTAAGTGTCTGACTTCAGCTCAGGTTATGATCTCAAGGGCCTGGAACTGAACCTTGCATCAGGCTCCCTGCTCAGCAGGGAGTCTCCTTCTTTGCCTGCCACTCCCCTGCTTGTACTCCCCCTCTGTCAAATATAATCTTTCAAAAAAGAAAGGGAGGAGAGGGAGGGGAGGGGAGGGGAGGGGAGGGGAGGGAGGGGAGGGGAGGGGAGGGGAGGGGAGGGGGAGGGGAGGGGAGGGGAGGGGAGGGGAGGGGAGGGGAGGGGAGGGGAGGGGAGGGGAGGGGAGGGGAGGGGAGAGGAGGAGAGGAGAGGAGAGGAGAGGAGAGGAGAGGAGAGGAGAGGAGAGGAGAGGAGAGGAGAGGAGAGGAGAGGAGGAGAGGAGAGGATCAAACAGACTTCGTATCCCAAGTCTTTTTTTTGTTTGTTTTTTGGAAGATTTTTATTTTAGAGAGATGGAGCGCAAACAGGGGAAGGGATAAGAGAAGAGGGAGAATCAGACACTTGGCTGAGCAGGGAGCCCAATGTGGAACTCAATCCTGGGACTCTGGGATCATGACCTGAGCCAAAGGTAGAAGTTTGAGCCACCCAGGCACCCTTGTCCAAAGCTTTCTAATGCCAAATATTAGTAAGGAAAAGGGCTAAGCTGGAAGATGATATTTAGCCTCTGAAAAAACTAATAAGGCTGACCAAAATTATAAAGGAGAGAAAGATCTAGCTGAGCCACCATAAACGGCTTCAACTATGAAACAATGACAAAGTTGTCAAAATCTGGGTTCCAATAATCTGACAAAAAATTTTAGTGAAAGCATGCTGTGTGCCACAGTTAGATTCTAGGAATACAGTATATAACCAAGACATGCTACTCAAAAAAGAAGCTAAATATAGTTTATCTGAGAGAAATGAATGGAGTAGTCTCCAAGAGTATCTTCATTTCAGCCAACTGCACCTATAATCACATCACTGCTTACTGAATCCAAAACACATTTCACTCAGGAGAGAATTCTGATCAGCAGTTTTTTCTAAATTCGTTCAAAAATGTTCATTAGGCATCTGCTATCCACTGGGATCAGTGCTAAGTGCTAGAGAGTCAACGGTGAACAATATAACATAACCCCAGTCCTCATCTAATATTATGCTCACCCTCCCCTTTACTAACACTCTCAATCACTTCTGCTGACCCAATAAGTCAAATTGCCTACATCTTCCACCATGGCACTTTCAACAGGCCCTTGCCACAGATAAGCAATTTTAGAGTTCTTTGCCCTATAAGCAGACTATGTTATTGCCTTCCAACATCCAGACCTCTCTACCCTCAGAATAAAATCCATTTAAAAAATAAATAAAATAAAATAAAATTTAAAAAAGGGATCCCTGGGTGGCTCAGTGGTTTAGCGCCTGCCTTCAGCCCAAGGTGTGATCCTGGAGACCCGGGATGGAGTCCCGTGTCGGACTCCCTGCATGGAGCCTGCTTCTCCCTCTGCCTGTGTCTCTGCCTCTCTCTGTCTCTCATGAATAAATAAAATAAAATAAAAAATAAAATAAAAAAATAAAATAACATAAAATAAAATAAAAATAAATAAAATAAAATAACAAACAAATAATAAAATCCATTTTCGTTCAGACAAGATACTACACTCTCCTCTAAGGCGAAGGAGTGGGTTAATTTCTGAATCAATCATGCCAACAACTGATTTAAGCATGGGTACGAGAAAAATACTGGTCAAGAAGACAAGATGGGGTGGCGGGGGCAGAGGACAGATCTTGCAGCAGTTTCTGATAAAGGTTTCTTCACTCCTAAAAGAACTTTTGATTCTCAATCAAGGGCAATACTATCCCACATGGGACATCTAACAATGTCTAGAGACATTTTTGGTTGTTAAAACTGGTGGTGGTTGAGGAGCGCTCCTGGTATCTAGAAGCTAAAGTCCAGGGATACTGCTATACTGCTAAACAGGCTACAATGCACAGGACAGTCTCCCATAACAACAACAAAATTATCTGGCCCAAAATATCAAGAGTACTGAGGTTAAGAAACCCTGCTAAAGATGATACACTGGAAGAGACAATGTCTTCTGTCCTTGAAAAATCTGGAGGAGACACACAGAACTGCTGAAGCCAGCTAGTTTCAGTTTGAGGACAAAGCCAACCTACAAAGGAGAGCTTCAGAGAAATAAGACTGAAGGCCTGATTGTACCATACCTAGAAACGTCCTAACTCTGGACTTCACCTGTGACATAATTTCTCTATCATTTGAGCCATTAGGTAGGGTTTCTATTACTCACAGCCAGAGCATCCTGATATAATCCACTTTTACATTAACATTTATCATGAACTTTTTCACAAAGATTACTTCACTGTTATAATGCTTTAAAGTATTACAAGGGGGACACCTGGGTGGCTCAGCAGTTTAGCACCTGCCTTTGGCCCAGGGCGTGATCCTGGAGTCCCGGGATCGAGTCCCGCGTCGGGCTCCCTGCATAGAGCCTGCTTCTCCCTCTGCCTGTGTCTCTGCCTCTCTCTCTCTCTCTCTCTCTCTCATTAATAAATAATCTTTACCAAAAAAAAAAAAATACAGTATTACAAGGTATTAGAAAATACTTAGGACGGTTATTTTTTTGAAGATTTAATTTATTTGACAGAAAGAGAGTACAAGCAGGGGGAGCAGCAGAGGGACAGAGAGAAGCAGCTCTCTGCTGAGCAAGTAGCCTGATGTGAAACTCGATCCTGGGACCCCAGGATCACGCCCTGAGCCAAAAGCAGTCACTCAACCGCTGAGCCACCCAGGCATCCCTCCAAATATCTTTTTATAAGATTTTTTATAGATTATACTCTACTGATCTATACCATACCTACTGATGAACGTTTAGGCTATTTCTCATTTTTATTGTCAAAGACTCAGCCCAAACACACCACCTTGATTACTCCATCTGACCACCTGCAGCAGTGTGGGTGCCATTCCACTAGCACTTGCCCTAGACTACACCTACTTTCTTCTGCAGTTATAGGTGTTCTTACTCTAACTCCCCAAGGACACTGTAAGCCAACCAAGGGAAGGAACCCTATCAACCAGATCTGTCACCCAATTCTTTGCGTGGCCCATCATAAATACACAGGTCTCTGAATTAATAAAAACAGCCATATTAAAAACACACATGCACACACACAAAACAGAACACCCCAAACAAACATCAAAAGTTAAGAGTTTAAAAGAGGTCACAAAAGAAAACGCAACTTGAGATTAACTATGGGAAAGAAAGGGCACTATGGAAACCGTGTATGACTGAAAAGGAAAGGAAGATGAAGAGGCCAACAATAATATGAGGAGGGAGCACAGGAGGAAAGGACGGCAGTGATGCCTGTAGGAACTGACAATGAACTACTCAGGATCTAACACAACGACAGATGAAGACAAGCAATCATCAATTTGAGAGAAGACAGGGGAAAAGCAGTAAAATGGAAGCCATTTTTGGCTCAGCCTGAAGACTCTACAAACACCACTTGCAACCAAACCATATTTTTGCCTTTAGAAGGAGTCAAGTATGTTTCCTCACAGTCTCACTGAACACAGACCTTATATTCACTCGTTTGACAAATATACACTAAG